CTTCGGTCGAGTCCCATTGGTGCTGTCAAGCAACGCTTTGTATCTATCTTGCAGAACACATCCCAGCATGGCGCGATTTCGAGATGGAGGAACAGGCCAAATACCTTGGGATCCAGTCCAGACCCGAAGCCACAGAGCTGGGAGTCTGGGCCGAAGCCGTTCGCAAGTGGTGGGCTCGCGCGCGCGACATCCCACGCGCTGCCCGTCCTACCGGCGCCAGCCTGCTCCTGTGCAACAGCACAGCTCTCTCCGCTGTAGGCCGTCTGGCGCAGTTGCTCCCCTTGCCGCGAGTTGTTCTGCACGAAGAAAAATTGCCCTCCACCAGGTCCTGCGGCCCCCGCCTAGTAATACTTTTCGCAGGGCTGACTTCGCCCCCTAGAAAAATGGCCTGGCTGCACCCGAATATGCGCTCGCCGCGAATGCTGCCAGCCTTCGGATGCGCGGCCACCGCGCCCTTCGAGGCCGGCACCCGCTGCCACGGGAACCGTCGGAGCAAGTCACCCAGTGCGCTCCGTTCGCTGGGCGAGGGGGCAGTGGAGTGCGCCGCGCTGGGAGATAGGGCAGGGCTTCCTGCGGCGCTTTGCCAGCCTCGATGAAGCGACGCCTTTCCAGGACATCCCTGACGCGAGCTGGCGCGCCGCAGTAGCGGCGGCACGCAATGGGCAGGCCGCGGCTGCGAGCGAGGCCCGCGCGGGGAAACTCCAACGCATCCTTTCCCTCTCGCCCCGAACCCCCCCTCTTCCCGCCGCCTTTCGAGATCGCGATCTCCAAGCGCCTGCAGGCATGGGGCCTGGCTGCTGCGATTAGCGGGTCGGTGGGGGAGCGGCGGGGCGGCTGCGTCGCTGCGCCGCGCGCACTCGAGCCAGCCTGGCAGTGGAGCACAATCAAAGCCTTCGCAGGAGGGTGGGCGACTTCACACCGCATGCACGTCTGTGGCGCTTCCGACTGCATCTTTTGATGCTGCGATGAGTCGGATTATATGTCTTTCTGTTTGTCTTGCCTTGTCTTTGCTGGGCCCCCGCCCCCATCGCCTCCCTCGCCCCATTTAATCCTCGGCCTCGGAGCCGATGACGAATGCAACTGAGCAGACTGTGCGCTTCGCCGCCGAGCTGCGATGCGCCTTGGCGCGCTCTGTTTTCACACCTACCACAAGCTCAAGGCGTCGGTGCCTCACGGAATACAGGCAGACCCCGTGCCGCAACAGGCAGCGGTAGCAGCTGCTGTGCACGCCACCGGCCAATAAACGTGCTGGCGGACTGTTGCCCCTCAGGCACGGCCGGTCATCATCATCACCACCAGCAGCAGTTACATCCAAGTCATCATCATCCGCATCATCATCATGCCCAGCATCGCCATACCCATCATCGTCACTAGCATCATCACCACCACTTTCACCATCACCATCACCCTCAGCATTGGCAGCCTCTTTATCTTCAGCATCATCACCACCCTCATTCTTCTCATCCGCATTATCATTATCGTCGTCGTCCTCGTCATCGTCGTCGTCACGACCATCACCATAACCATCGCCAGCATCGCCATCGCCATCGCTCATCGCCCCGTCAACAGTATCCAACTCATGATCACCGTCATCATCAGCACCAGCATCACCAGTATCATCAAACATTCCACCATCAGAACAATGAGCATGACTTCGTTCTCACCATCATCGTCGCCCTGTTCCCGCCTCCCCGCCCTCATCCGAACCTTCCCCGTTCGCCATCCAACTCGCCGCCCCCCTCCCTGATCCAGAAAGGAAGAAAACGGGCCCAGTGAGTGTCCGTTTGCTCTGGGCAGAGGGCTTTGGGGCGCTGGGCCACCCAGCGCCCAGCCCCACACATCGAGCCTACCAAGGCGCCCCAGCACGTCCCCCTCCTGCTCCAACTCCATCCCCCGCCCTCTCCCCCCCCCCCTCCTCCGGCCCCTCCTCTCCTACCCCGTCGTTCCCCACTCCTCCTGCTCCACTTGTTTTTTCTCCTCTTCCTCCTCTTCCTCCTCTTCCTCCTCCTTTTCTTCTTCCTCCTCCTCCTCCTCCCTAACTCCCTTTTCCTCCTTATCCGCCTCCTCCTCCTTCTCCTCCTCCTCATCCTCCTCCTCCTTTTCCTCCTCCTCCTCCTCCTGCTCCTCCTGCTCCTCCTTTCCTATTCCCCGCCTCTTCCCCTTCCTCCTCCACCTCCTCCTCCTCTTCCTCCTCCTTCTCCTGCTCCTATCTTCTCTTCCTCCTTTTCCTCCTCTCCTCCTCCTCCTCTTCCTCCTGCCCCTCCTTTTCCTCCTCCTCCTCCGCCTCCTCCGCCTCCTATTCCTCCTCCTGCTCCTTTTCTTTCTTTCTCCTCCTCTTCCTCCTCCTCCTCCTCCTCCTCCTCCTCCTCCTCCCCCTCCTCCCTCCTCCTCCTCCTCCTCCTCCTCCTCCTCCTCCTCATCATCATCATCATCAGCATCCTCCTCCTCCTTCGCATTTCCTCCCCCCCTCCTCCTCCTCCTCCTCCTCCTCCTCCTCCTCCTCCTCCTCCTCTCCTCCTCCTCCTCCTCCTCTTCCTCCTCCTACTCCTACTCCTCCTCCTCCTCCTCCTCCTCCTCCTCCTTTTCCTCCTCCTCCTCCTCCTCCTCCTCCTCTTCTTCCTCCTCCTCCTCCTCCACTTGTCCCTGCTCCTCCTCCTCCTCCTCCTTCTCCTCCATCTCCTCATCCTCCTCTTCCTCCTCCTCCTCAACCTCCTCCTGCTCCTCCTCCTCCTTTTCCTCCCCGTTGTTCCTTTTTTCCTCGGGCCATCGGAATATTGTAACTGTCGTCACCTTTGGGCTCCTCATGCCTGAATATCGAGGAGGTATCAGGCGGGAGCCTCATCTGTGGGTGAATTGTGAGGAAGTCTCCAGCGGGAGCTCCCTCCCCTTCTCCTCCTCCTCCTCCTCCTCCTCTTCCTCCTCCTCCTCCTCCTCCTCCTGTCCCGCCCCCTCCTCTTCATGCTCCTGGCTCAAGTCCTCGGCCTCTGGGGGCCGAGGACACCACAGCATTTCACTCCTGGTCAGGTCCAGGAGCTTGGGGCTCGAACACTTCGCGTTCGCTTACGCCCCCAGAGTTTTTTCGGATCTTTCCCCACCAGTCTGCCATGCCTGCCACTCTTGCGAAGGAGCACCTCTCCATCGTGATCTGCGGGCATGTCGACATCGGCGAGAGCACCACCACCGCCCGCCTCAACTACGACCTGGGCGGCCTTCCGCAACGCGAGCTGGAGAAGCTGCAGGAGGAGGCCGTATGCCTAGTACCAGGCCCCATCCGTTTCACGTTCTACATGGACCGTCAGAAGGAGGAGCACGAGAGCGGTGTGACCAGCGCCTGCGCCACCCGAGACTTCTACACCGAGAAGTGGCACTACACAGTCTTCATCGATGCCCCAGGCCATCGCAAGTTCAACAAGGTCGCAAACCTGCAGAAGAAGGCTGACAACATGGACTGGTGGAAGGGCTGCAACGTCAAGTACGGCAAAGACTGCGCCACCCACAGATACAAGCAGTTCTGCTATGCCGAAATCGGAAAGAAATGAAGTTCATGCTGGTCAAGGACGGGTGGTACAAGGACTTCGAAGAGAAGGTAACGCCTGCGATGCCAGTCTCCGGCCGGATGGGCGACTACCTGCTCACGAAGTCTGACAACATGGATTGGTGGAAGGAATGCGTCGGCGAGTACGGCAAGGCCCGTGCCATGCAAAACAGCCATCATAAGTCTGGATGTTTTTTTTCCTCCGCTTGCCGCCTGAGGCAAGCCATGCTGCAATTAGGGCTCGCTCCTGGCCTTTGCATTCCGCTGCCCATTGGTGCATAAGAATCGTGGGAGAGGCCCGTGGGATTAGTCTTCCGCTCTCCGTGATGAGCCGTGGTCTGCATCTGTGTTGCTTTGAATTTCTTGTCTTGTGCACTATTGCGGCGTGCACCCGTGCAGTCGTTTTGTTTCTAAGTGGCGCTCTGCTTAGTATGTGTTGCCCAGTCGTTCAAAGCTTGTAAAAGACAGACCGTAGAAGTCAGTAAATCAGGTTGAAAGCTTCCCAAAAGGGTGGTGCTTCCCTGAAAATCATGCACGGCAGCCCTGACAGAAGGGAGTGGCTCGGCGATTGGAGCTCCGCCGAGTCCTACGGCCCATCCCCGCAGCGGGACCCCTGGCCGCGGGCGGCTTGTAGTCACCAAGCGAACGCCCCCTCCACCACGCGCTAATCCTCTTCATGCTCCTCCTGTTCCTCCTCCTCCTCCTCCGCCTCCTCCTCCTCCTTCTCCGCCTCCTCCTCCTCCTCCTCCTCCTCCTCCCCCTTCTCCTCCTCCTCCTCCTCCTCCTCCTCCCCCTCCTCCTCCTCCTCCTCCTCCTCATCATCATCATCATCATCATCATCCACCGCTGCGTTCCTTCCTTTTAGCGCGCGGCGCAGCGCCGCCCCACTCCACAATTACTCAATATAAATACTACTCTCCCTCTTCCCCTGATGACGGCCTGGGAGTGTCCGACCGCCCCCCGCGCACTGCTTTTTACACACAGGTTTCCCCGGAGTTGGGTTTTCGCTTGCATTTTTCTCAAAATGCTGATCTCGCTGGGGCGCCGGCCTCATTTTCGGACCCCGCTCGTTCCGAATCGTGTTCCCGCTGCAGCGCTGGCCTCATTTCCGTGCTTCCGCTCTTTCCGAATCGTGCTCCCGCTGCAGCGCTGGCCTCATTTCCGCGCTTCCGCTCGTTTCGACTCGTGCTCCCGCTTCAGCGCTGGCGTCATTTCCCGTGCCATGCCACGGCATGCAATGCAATGCTCGGTTGATACTACGCTTTGCGGTGCTCGTCTACGCCATGCCACGCCGTGCTCTACAGTGCATCGCGTACCCTTTCGGGATCATTGCCCTGCTCGACATCCGACTGTGCGAGTAGAGAGGGGATCTGCGCCATGGTAAGGGATGGGAGGGAGGGGTCCGGATGTCAGACATGACGCGAGCGCACTTGGTTTGCCCCCCCCCCTCCCCGCCCCGCCCGAGGCGGCCCTGGAGGCGCAGGACCCGCGGTCGGCCAGCCGCTGGGCGGTCCGCGCGCGGGAGGCCCGCCCGCCGCCCCACCACCGCCTCGGAGAGCGCCGGCCCCCCCTCTCCCCTTTTCTCCTCCCTCGCCGCGTGAGGAAAACGTTGACTGCTATGCTTGTAGCACACGGCACTGACACAAAAAACACAGGTATAGCGATTGCTCGAGCGCTTCCACCACCCCTTTTCCCTCGCCGCCTTTTCCCCGCATGCAAAAAGCAGTCAAGAGCACTTCCCCCCCTCCCCCGCCCACTCCTCCTCCTCCTGGTGCGGCGGCCCGCCTCCCTCGGGGGGCTGCCGCTCCTGCGCCGACAACAGATAGCTTGATCGTCCTGCCGTTGTCGGTCGTTCTCGGCCCCTCGAGGGGGGGGGGTTCCGCTGCTGCTGCACCAACACGAAATGACTGGATCATCCCGCCGTGGTCTGTCGTTCTTGGCGACGGTCGCTCCTCCTGTTCCTGTTTCTCCTCCTCCTCCTCCTCCTCCTCCTCCTCCTCCTCGTCCTTTTCCTCCTCTTCCTCCCCCGCCCCCCCCCCATCTGGCGCCCCCTGCCCCGAGCAGGGCGCGCGGAGCACGGTCTCCTTGCGTGCCCTGCTTCGTGCACCAGAGCATGTGCTCCTCCTGGTCCTGGCCACGGGGGCACGTGCCCCGTCTTGTGGCCCGCAGGACCTGCGCCTGTGGGCTATGCCAGTCCTCGCTGGCGCCTGCGGGTCTTGCAAGCCTCGCCCGCAGGAAGACCCGTCATGACTGGCGGGAGAGGGTACAGCGGCAAAAAAATGTTCCGCCCTCCACCCGTCTCCTCCTCCCCCGCCTCCTCCTCCTCTTTCCTTCTTCTATATAGATTTATCCTCCAAGTCGCGCCCCGTCGCGTGCCGGTAGGGCGGGCGGGGCGTTCCGCGTGAGACCTCCTCACCATGTATAGTTATTGAATTGAAGATGTGCAAGAGATTCACAGATGGAGGGCGGGCCGTTATCAGCATTAGGTCCGCGCCTTAGCCTCGCGCACACTCGCATCACACACACACACGCACACACACACACTTGCAAGAGCTGCACGTTTAGAGGGCGGTTTCGTTTCAAATTGTGGTTTTCGCCTTTGTGCCGCGCGCATCCGCTGCAAAGCACGGAAAGCTTCACGAATAGAGGGCGGGCCGTTTTCAAACTGTGTTTCTGTCCGTTTAGCGCCACGCGCATTCGTCTTTCATGCAAAAAAAGGAGCAGACACAAAAGAGCTTCACGGATGGTGGCCGTTTTTATGGTTGTTCCCGTGATGGCGTCGCGCATGTTCTGTCGAGCTTGCAGCTAACGTCCGAGAGATGACGTTTTTGGCACGATGTCGGACTGTCAGGGCCCAACAGTTAAATCGATTTGCAGCGTTGAAGTCCTAGGGGTGATGTTCTGGCACGGTTCAGGGCCGTCAAGACGCAACAGTAATGGTGAGTCGCGGCAGTGAGTTCCCAGGAATGGTGTTCCAGCACATTTCAGGATGTTCAAACGGTTGCTTTTCAACGGGTCACTTACCTCAATGAAAATTACCCTTTGTAGGGGTTTATGAAGAGGGATTAGGGGGGGGGTGATTACAATTTCGTTGATGAGTCTTGGGCTTACACTGGTCCTCCTCCTCCCCCTCCTCCTCCTCCTCCACGGAGGGGAGGGGAGGGGAGGAGCGGACGGGGAGGAAAAGGGTGAGGAGGCGGAGGAGGAGGAGGAGGAGGAGGAGGAGGAGGAGGAGGTGAAGGTGGACGAGGAGCAACAGAAGGGAGGAACAGGAGACGGAGGAGCTGGGAGGAAGCAGGAGGGACGATTAAGGGGGGAGTAAAGGGGGGGAGAGAGAGGAGGGGAGAGGAGGGAGAAGCGAAGAGGAAGGACGGAGGGAGGAGGGAAGGAGGAATGGAGGGAGGAAAGGAGGAGGAGGTGGAGGAGGAGAAGGAAGAGGAGAAGGCGGAGGAAGAGGAGGAGGCGGATGAGGGGGAGGAGAGCGGAGGAAAAGGAAGAGGAGGAGGCGGAGGAGGAGGAGGTAGGAGGAGGGCGGAGGAGGAGGAAGAGGAGGAGGAGAAGGACGACCTGCGTAAACCCAAGACGCGCCAACGATGTTGCAATACAACATCCCTCCAGGTTCCCTCTTCATAGGTTCCTTCATGGAATCCGATTCAGCGCGGGAGGCGCCCCATTGATAGGTGACCGTCTGAGAGTCATGAGCCGTACCTCGTACCATAACTCGAGTCCTGAGATTTCAACGCCGCGAATCAGGCTTACTGCTGCGTCCTGACAGTCGTAAACCGTGCCAAGGCACCATTTGGGGAATTTCATCCCCACGAATCATTCCACGCGACGATTGCGCCCCGGCAACCCTCAGTCGCGACAGAACATCATTCCTGGGATTTCAACCCCGCAAACCCTTTTAAACTGTTGAAAATGTTGAAGACGAATGCGCGCGGCGCTGCGGCGAGAGCCACACGTTGAAAATGAACCACCTTTCACATGTGAAGTTGCTGCGAACTTGCAATACGAATGTGCGCATCGCATCGAAAAAAAGCCACATTGAAAAAACACACGCCCTCCATCGGCTAACCCGCTGCAAACGTTAGAAACGAATGTGCGCGGTGCAGAGGCGCGAGCTACAGTTTGAAACGGCCCGCCCTCCATCTTTGAAGCTGCTGCCGTGGTTTAAGACGAGCGTGCGTGACGCTGGGGCGAGAACCACACTTTGAAAACGGCCCGCCCTCCAACCCTGAAATTGCTGCGATTTCTAAAATGCTGGATCATAGGCGCTGATGAGGCCTTAAACATAACGCCCGCCCATACCTACCGACACGTCTACGGGTGCGACGGGGTGGAGTTGTTTATAAGGAAACCAGATAAAAGAGGAGGACGAAGGAGGAGGAGGAGGAGGAGTTGAATTCTGCAGGTCTGGCTAGGAGGCCTGCGCTGAAAAAAAAGGTGGAGGTAGATTCGTGCCAGGACCGTCCACAGCGTCAACGTGAAGAGGAGGAGGAGTACGATTGAGGATCCAGGGTGCTGGTGGTGAGGACGATCAGGAATATGATTTGGCATGCGTGTTCCTTCCTGGGTCGGTCTCCGGGGGGCTCCTCGTCGCCACGGCTGGATCCCCGCTGGATGCCTGGACAAGACGCACCGATTGGGATGCCCAGGGGTCGATGGTTGAGGGGAAGGAGGAGGAGGGGGAGGAGGAGGAGGAGCTGAACCGCCCTCTGGGCGGACCGCGCCGCCAGCGCCGCCGGATTCTGTCATCACGAGTCGCGCCATTGTTCGCGGTCTCCATGTTCGTGTTCTGTTCCTCCGGTTCTTGCTGTGTCATCCTAGTCTTTGTATTCGCCCACTGGGGCATGTATCCCCCATCACATCTCGGCTTCGTCCTTGCATCCGCCCCCATTCCCAGCACCCAAACAGCCCTCCAAGTTCCCTCTTCATAGGTCCCTACTTGAAATCCGATTCAGTCCTGGAGGTGCCGCATTGAAAGATAGCCGTTTGAGAACACTGAGTCGTGCCCCAACTTTATTCCTGAGATTTCAACGCCGCGAATCAGGTTTACTGCTGCGTCCTGACAGTCGTCAATCGTGCCAGAACAGCATTTCTGGAACTTCAACCCTGCGAATCAACGTGACTGTAGCGACCTGGCAACCCTAAGTCGCGCCAAAGCACATTTCCTTGGACTTCAACCGTACGAATCTTTGAATTGTTGGAAAGTTTGAAGACGAATGCGCGCGGCGTTACGGGGAGAGCCACGTGTTGAAAATGAGCCACCCTTCATCCTTGAAGCTCCTGCAAACTTGAAATACGAATCTGCGCGGCGCATCGACGAGAGCCACATGTTCAAGAACACCCGACCCCCCAAACCTTTAACCCGCTGCAAATGTTTAAAACGAATGCGCGCGGCGCAAAGGCGAGAGCCACAGTTTGAAAACGGTCCGCCCTCACTCCTTCAAGCTGTTGCAATTGCACTTCTGAAGCGGCCCGCCATCCACCCCTGAAATTGTTGCACCTTCCAGGCTCCAGGATCGCAGACGCCGCAGAAATCTCAAACACACAACGCCCCTCACGCCCTACGGACACGTCCAACCAAGTTCTCGACACTATCCCTCAAGGGCATTTAAAACGCGCCTACCCTGGTGTACGAGGCGCCGTGCGCTGAAACTCCTGTGGGCTGACAGGGTAGACCCTGCGTGATGCGCCGCGTCCTGGCAGCTCTAGGCTTTGGGGGTTCCCAGGAGGCTTACAGAGCGTGCGCGTGTGTGTGTGTGTGTGTGCGCGCGCGTGTGTAAGAGCGTGCGCGCGTGCATGTTTGTGTGTGCGCGCTTGCGCGTTTATGTGGTGTGTGCGCGCGCGTTGAAAATTGACCAGCCACACCTTTGTCTGTGCTCGTTCGTAGAATGACCATTGTTACTTCGTTCCTCGAACAATGATCTACACACACACACACACCCAGGGTAGGGTCGTATTCTCATTCCTCAAATCCCTGGGGCCGTCTCCCTGTCGCGGATCGTCTTTGCATGGCCCAGCCTCCGGGCTCCGTCACACGGCGGAGGCCTCAGTCTGACCTCTCACACCTCACGCTCGGCATCGCTCGGACGTGTGCATTTTTCCTTCGGCGAGGACCATCGAGGAGCATCCTTGATCATTTGGCGGAAAACAAAAAAAAAAAACGCACGAAACCGAACAAAACAAAGGGAATGGACGTCCGAGCGATGGCGAGTACGGGGCGCGGCGCCTGGACGCTCCGCCCCAACACCTCCGCGCACGGAGTCCTCGATCCGCCTGTCCGGCCCCGCCGCCCTGGCCCAACGCCGAGGGGAGGGGAGCAAAAGCGCAGCGCGCGGGCAACGACGCCAGATTCAGGGGGGGGGCACCCCGAGGAGGAAGGAGACGAGGACGAGGCGGGGCGAGGGCTCGGCATCGCTCGGACGTGTGCATTTTTCCTTCGGCGAGGACCTTCGAGGAGCATCCTTGATCATTTGGCGAAAAAAAACCACGCACGAAACAAAAACAAAAAAAAAAGAGAAAAAAAAAAAAAAAAAAAAAAAAAAAAAAAAAAAAAAAAAAAAAAAAAAAAAAAAAAAAGGGAATGGACGTCCGAGCGATGGGGAGAGGGGGGAGGGACGTCCGCCTCCGGCCCCCGTGGCTTGCGCAGGGCGATCACAGCAGAAGCCGGGCGGTCCCGGGGCCCGAAGACGGACCCTTAGGCGCCGACAAAGGGGAGTCAGAGCGCAGCCAGCGTGCGCCACGCGCTAGATCTCCAGACCCTAGCCAAACGCCGCGAGGGGCTTACAAAGCCTGCAGCTGCCCGACCCGGCTGTGCACGAGGATCCGCCGTGAATGCTGCGAGAGCCCTTGCTGCAAGCACGTGATAGCTTACAGCAAGGCTCCAGGTCGTCGCGCCCTGCGAGAGCGCTTCCGCCGCCCGCGTCCCGGATCCTCCAGCTGGCAGGGGAGAGGGGAGGAGGAGGAGGAAGAGGAGGAGGAGGAGGACGAGGAGGAGGAGGACCAGAGTAAACCCAAGAGTCATCAACGATGTTGGAGTAAACCCTCCCTCCAAGCTCCGTGTTTTTTTCATAGGACCCTACAACGGTTCATGCCCACTGAAGTAACTGCCTCGTTGGAGGACCCCGCTTAAAGATCTTGAAGCACGCCAAGACATTATTCGGACTGTTGCGTCTTGACGATCCTGAATCGTGCCAGAACGCCATCCCTGGGATTCCAATACCGCGAATCAGCGTAACTGTGACACC